CACACCCACTGTCTCATTGATGGAGGAACAGAATTAGAATACATTGATTGGTCAGAGAATAGGTTACTGGGATCAAGTTCATGAAGATCTTTACCTCTAGAATATAAATAAATTTGAGAGAGTTTTATTTAAGTTTTTACCCAGCGATGATGACCAATCCATGCCCTCCTCTATAAAGGAATCAGTCAATAACATCTGACGTAAATACTTGATCAACCCCGCCCACAAGTAATTAGTGTAGGCGTGGGAATGTTTGGGCATTTGAGGGAGGGATTTTATGGAGAGGAGCCGATAAGAAGAGTGAGGGGTGAGGGAAGTACAGAGGTCACTTAATGAGCACCAGTTACTCAGTAAACTTGAGTCTCTGGCGGAACAGAGAGAGCTGTGTGGTACAGCTGGTTGAAGAATGCTGGCTAGAATATGAGTAGCCACTTTATTGAGATCTTTAAAGCTAATCTCTTTAAGATGAAGGAGTTTGGAACACACTTTATGTAAGTGATCATTAGGTAGGAGGATCACTGCATCAGATGAACCGTACAGTGAGGCTGTTGTTAAAAGAGCATTGTAATTCTGTACAATAACTTCACCGGAAGCATAAGGCCATATGACAGGATTGACTAGACAAGAAGTAGGATATTCATCATGTAGCAGCTGTGTTACATAAGTGCCTAATCCGGACCCTGTACCACCTGCTACACTCATCAGTATTAAGAAACCTAATATTGATAAAAATTAAAATTTAAATACTAAACGCTAATAAAATTAATTTTAAATTGAAACTGGCTCCATTATTTCAGTAGTATATTAAATTATTAATACCTTCAAGGCTATCACATTTCTCAGCTTCTCCTTGCACGGCATTTAAAATCCCTTCATGAGCTGCTGGTCCGTGTTGATAAAACCCGTGAGCCCAGTTATTACCAGACCCTTGACGTCCTTTATATATACTGGAGGAGTCGTACTCCCAGGCTCCACCTCTCTTTGCTTCCACTAGAGAGGACTCTATGACCTTCAGCTCAGTATCGATGAGAACTGATCTTGCTTTTAACGTATTCTTGCCATCATTTTTGTGAAAATATCTACTGAGAGTTTTCTGATAATAATTAGAGGAGGAGGAGGAGAGAGAAGGGGATTTGCAGGTAGCAGAAGCATCTGAGAGGAGGAGGGAAAAGAGCTGAGGTCCCATCTGGTTACCACACTGGCCCAGCTGGACCACAACTGTAGAGGCCATTGCTGAGGGGCATTAAATAGAGTACATGCAGGAGCACACGTGGAAGCACGTGGGTAATTGATAGGTGGGGCTGGTGCTTTAATTGGGATAAAAATTCAAGAATGGCGGCATTAAGGAGGAGAAGAAGTAGCTTTTGTCCTCCTTCCCGAGCCAACCAAGAAGAGGAAAGGAAAGAGAATTTATTAGCTGACTCTAAAGATAAAAGACTAAGTAAAATCAAAATGGTATGAGTTAAAAGTTACTAATAAAATGAAAAATTAATGATAATAATAATAATAATTGTATTTACATATGTACATCATAGAGTCCAATACCAGAGTCTTCTCCTAGAAAGAGGCAGAGGTCTCCAGATCAGTCGTTATCATCCGAAGGGTTCTTAAGACCGAGTCAAATTCGTCAACTTCAGAAAACTATATTGTCATCTGATGATGTCATCACTAGCCAACCACAGACCAGCAATGGTAGCATCCTATTATCTTTTTATGCTATACAGTACATATTCATTGCAATTTTTCCCTTTTCTTTCTCTTCAGTGTCTGGTTCTTCTACTCCAGCAGCTGCTAATAACATAAACTCGCTGTGGGACGGAGTATTGAACTGGATGAAATCAGCTCTTGACTTTGTTGGTAGTGAACTACCTAATGACACTGAACCATCACCTTCTAAAGTAGAGCAACTCAATATCTGCACTGAATACATTAGGATCTAATCTCTCCCTCCCTCTCTCTCTCTCTCTTCCTCTCTCTCTCTCTCTCTCCCTCCCTCTCTCTCTCTCTCTTCCTCTCTCTCTCTCTCTCTCCCTCCCTCTCTCTCTAGAAGCGGCACATTAGTCAGGATTATGAATCAGAGAATATTCAAAGTTCTTATAGTGAAAATCAGAGAAGGTTTGAAAAGCAAAGAATGTTATAATTAGTTTTATTTTCTTGCAGTTATGCACCAAAATCAATCACAAGTACAACTGCAGCTGCTACAATTAATTCCACTACTAACGTCAGAGCTGAGATTGCTCCTGCCAATAAATTTCGTTCTTTGCTAGCGTCTGCTGAAAAGTTTGAGTCCTCAGTTGGTGGTGAAGGACTCAATAGTCTCCTCTCAGATCCTGAAGGTTCTACAAGATCCCGCTCAATCAAGAATCCTTTCTCTAGACAGAACCCCACAAGGGAAGACGTACCAGCTCCCTCTAATGGTAATTTATAATGTGCATGCATACATGATAAATAATTTCTCTTTTGTTATTTTAGTTCCTCCTCCTCCTGCCCCTCCTCCTCCCCCAGCTCCACCCCCTCCCTCTCTCCCTCCCCCTCCTCCTCCTCCTCTCTCTGAGCTCCAAGCCACACCTACCACCGCAAGAACTAGCAGTCGTCTCCAACAGATGCAGAACCGACTGAGGACCAGAATGATGAAGAGAACAGAGTCAACTGACGTACCCGAGACACCAAATAAGAAGACGCTGGATTTTAAAGTAATTAATAACAGTCATAATAATAATAATAATAATAATTACACATTATTATTATTATTTAGTCTCGTCAGTGGGCGGAGATACAGGCTCGTCAGCGTAAGATGTCAGTCCCTGACTTCCTTCACTTAGCAAAGGGAAAAAGAGAAGAAATACAATCACTATTAAAAGTAAAACGAGAGAGGGAGAGATATTAATGCATATAGTGCAAGATTAAAGTGTA